GTGTACACTGCTCCACACATAGGTATAAAGTTGAAAGGCTTTACTGGGATGTGTAATCAACACTGTTCCATATCAAGGCACCCTGACACTGGCTTCTCACCGTTCTGTTTTGTTTAGTCTAGACACTTCAGAGAATGTCCCCTAGCATCCTGAATTTCAAACATCATCCACTGACCTGGATCAGAGCAGTGGTGCTCAGGCATCAAGTCATGGACCTATAAATGATGGTCTGATAAGCTGACCTAGTGGTTTTTATAGAAATTGTCCTACATATAGACCCACAGAGGATTGAAGATGCTTTTTAAAAACAAGAGAACAAAGGCCAGGTGATACTCTCCTATTCCTGCACAGGATAAAAAGTACCAAAAGGCCATCTGGGCACTGCAGGGCACATGCCCACATCCCCTCATTCCTTCTAGTTTCCTTGCTGGAGTGCAGAGGGCTGTGGCATATACAGCAGAGGGCATGAAAGCATGTTCTCAGGAAGCTGAGAATAGAGTGGCCTAGGAAAAGATGCAAGAGAGAGAAGTACATCTGTGAGCTGGGACTGTCTCTACTCCTTAGATTTATTCTCATGGACCTGCCATATAACTCAAGTGCCATGGAAGAGTTTAATGTAAAAGGCACATCATGTAAGTTTGAAGAGTTACTCCTTTTCCAATCAGGGCAGGTGGTTTGGGCAATAGGAAAGCAGCCACATCACTAGTAGCCAGTATGAGGATTCTGAGTTTATCAAATGACAGGATCAGCAGGATCAGAGCAGCCAGAGAGGACCTGGAGAGAGAGAGAGAGAGAGAGAGAGAGAGAGAGAGAGAGAATGTCTGTATGTGTGTGTGTGTGTGTGTGTGTGTGCGCGTGTGTGTGTGTGTGTGTGTATATATATATCCTGGTGAAAGGATGCCAGGAGAGGAGAGAAAAGCATGGTATCCTGGAAAACGTGGTGAGCAAAGATCCAGAAGCCTTCACACTTGAGCTCAGACAGAGGCCTCTGAAGTGACTCCTGAGTGGGGAAGGGTGGGATCTACCAGGGGTGAAGGGCTTTGCACTTCTGGGCGGAGTTGAGTGTGGTTTTGTGATTGATAAAGGGGCTTTTGCTTTATGGGTAAGTATGGGCCACAGGAGAGCCTAGAAACTGCCACTCCTAGAGCATTGTCCCATCTTGTGCAGTCAAAGAGATCTGGGTTCGAGTTCCAGTTATGCCCTCTAATGCTGCCTATTTCACTTGCTTATTGTCTGACACATAGCGGATGCTCACAAGATGCAAACTGTTTTTGTTACATTGTTCCTGCTTTCATGTCTTGCCTTACTCCTGATACTGCTCCTTTGTGCTTTTGTAGCAGAGAGTGTGGAGGCATAGAAGTACAGCTTTTCTGAGAGAGTGTGTCTCAAGTCTGAAACTCTGTCCTCAACTATTTTACTGTCTGGCCTCGCAGGCATGAGCTGCATTGTGGTCCACGTGGCCATCTTTACAAACCCACGTGTGGGGTAGTCAGACCAGCTTGTCATTCTTTGTGACTCTGTCTCTCTTTGGCTGTGTCACATCTTCCCTCATGGGGAACCACTTCCACTTGTCTTTAATTGCTCTTCGTTGGGGCAGCTTGTCAGCTAAGGCTGCTCTCTGTCACTCGATCCCACATTTCTTCCTAGTTTAGTCATCAGTTGGCGTCTTTCCTTTAGCTGCACGTCTGGTTTCACAGAGAACACTGTACCAGATACTAATTTGCCTTGTAAGGGGGTCCCGCAGGGTTTCTTACCTCCATGCCCTACCCGAGGCACTGGTACATTTTTGTGTGGCTGTGGCCCTGGCCATGGTCCTATACCAGGCAGGTAGGGAAGGCGAGGATGCCAGCCATGGAGCTTCTCAGTTGAGTACCACAAGGCTACAAGACCCCTGTCCTCCTGTCCCTTTCTTCTCAGCAGAACTTCAGTTCGGGCCCCTGTCGGTTTCTAACAGTACCCCAACACCACTGGAGACCCGGGTATACTATTATTTCTTCCTAGGTTTATCCACTAGTTTAGAATTTTCTGTATTGTACCATGTATAACATCCCCCTCAATCCTGATAACAGCCTTGTAAGGGAAAGGGGAGCCATTCCTAGAATAGGTTTTGAGGTTCCTGCCTTCGGAAATGGGACTCAGAGAGGTTGTCCAGTTGTCTGTGAGAAAGGTGAGGCAACTCCATATAAATAGACAAATAATTTCCAGGCCATGGAGTAGGTAGAGAGCTCACTTTCAGAGAGATTTTGAGAGAAGTCTTGTTATCATTGGCCAGTTTGTGGCCCTGATTCTCCTGTCTGTCTCTCTGGAAACCTGGATTCTAGTTATTCACCTTGGGTCTTAGTCTCAGCTGTGTAACTTTCCCAGAGAAGAGCCCCTCTTCATGGTACCCTGTATCCCTTTAAAAGGCTTTTTTCTTTTTTCTCTTCTGCCTCCTGTAGGGGTGCCTGAGTTCCTTTTCCATTTATTATTCAATGGAACCAAGCCTCAGTCTCCCCCTCTCCCCTCCATCCCAGGATGAGCTGTTGTTATATATTAACAATTAATCTTAACAAGGAGCTGTAGTCATAGGCATTTACTCCAATGCAGAGAAAGCCAATGTGATATCTGTCATTTGTTTATGACAGATATCACATGCCCAGGCGCAATAGGTGGGGTTAGAAAGGAGAAGCTGCCAGTCATTAAACTTTGTTTCTTTTTCTGGTTCACTCCAGTCGTTGGTAGCCTAAGGATCTTGCAGTGTTTCCCCTGTTCACATGGTCAGTGCCGTAGTGCTAAGATGAGAAATTCAGCTTTTGAATTAGGAAGCTGAATGTGCATGATTTTCCATGTAATGGTAAAGATGAGCTTCACAGGTGCTGCTAGTGGGACCTCACTCTGAGTGTCCACGGTGGCCAAACACATGGATGTGAGAGCCCAACTCCCTGGGTTCAAGTCCTGGTCTGCCAGTTACCAGCTATTGTGACTGTGAACTGGTTCCTTAACTACTTTCCACATCTGTTGCCATCTGTAAAAAGAGGGGAATGATGGTAGGTATCTCAAATGGGTGTTACTGGGATCTAATGGGATGGTAGGCTTTAGCTCCTCACATAGTATCTGGCAGTAGGTGCTCAGTAAATATTAGTATCATTGTTATTTGCAGTGTTATTGACTATGGCTATGCTCATTGTCAAGGTCATATAGTATGTGAGGCATTTTCAATTCTTTGTCATTAGTTATATATTAAAAGGGAAACAGTTCTGGTGTTAGAGATTAAATGATGTACTGGAATGACCCATCTAATTACCTTTTCATCACTGAGATAAATTGTAAGACTTATTCTAGTACTTAAGTCCATTTTTTACTGAAAATGAAGATGATGTTACAACCTTTTTTAGACTGTGGAAAGGATGAAATTTGATTTACAGCTACAACAACTACCACCAAAGTACCTGAGATTTTTATGTTCCTACTCTGTGCCATTCTAAGTGCTTTACATGTATGTACTGACTCATTTCATCCTTGAAAAATAATTTACCCCTGTATTCCCATTTTCAGAGGAGAAAAGACACCCAGGTAAGTTCAACAACTTTGCTAAGGTCACACAGCTTGTAGGTAGTAGATGTAGGACTTTAGCCTAAATCCGGATCCTGACTTAGAATTTGAATAGGATAATGTAAAGGACATAGCAACATGATTGCCATAATCAATACTGCAATGTTAGCCCCTTTCCCTTTAATTTTTTTTTCTTGTTTATTGGGTAAATGTGATGTTACTTAGAGATCACAGGACCAAGACCCATCCCAGGGTACTGCAATCAAAATTCAGTTCCAGTAACAACAACACCTCTTTGAAATTCTAATTTTGGGAAATAGCATTAATCCCTGCTTTTACGTGGATTACACCAGATTTTTAAAGTCATAATAGTTTTTTTTTTTTGAATATTGTAGGGTGTTTCATTCTCCCACCATTGTGTGTATAGAGGGTGTACAAAATGTGCACAAAACACAGATTTCATTCCCCACCAACTCTTAACACATCTCCATGGTGAAAAAAAAAATGAAACGATGCAATACGGTACAGTGAAGAGTCAGTCTCTCTCCATTCCTGAATATTAATCTGACAGATCCACTCACCAGTGACAATTTTATAATTTTCTGTGTTTCCTTCCAAAGATGTTTTATGCATTTATGAGTGCATAATAGTTTTTATATTGAACACACACACACTTAACACAATGATAGTGCGCATATATATGTGCATATCCATATGCATAAACACATATCAAAAACACACACTCTTAACACAATACTGTAGTACCCACGCTTTTATGCTCCTTGCTAATTTCACTTAACAATATTTCTTGGAGAGCATCATGTCAAAACCAGAGCACTGCCTTGATTTTTGTTTATTATTATTAATTTTTTTTTTATTTTTGAGAAAGAGAGGAGGGGAAGAGGCAGAAGGAGAGAGAGAATCGGTACAAGGCTCGCCCACGACCATGAGATAATGACCTGAGCCAAGATCAAGAGTCGGACACTTAACTGACTGAGCCACCCAAGAGGTCCCAGAGAACTACCTTGTTTTTAAGGACTGCATTATTGTCCATCATCAGGATGTGCCAGTCTGTTATTATTGATGGCCATTCAGGTTGTTTCTGGTCTTTTACTACACTTCAGCAAATATCTTTGTATTTAAGTATTAGTATTTGTGCAACTCATACTCTATTGATTTCTACTTGCAAGCTTATATCATATAACTTTCTGATATCACAAAAAATTGACCAGAAGGAGACAACACAAAAGTAATAAAATGGAAATGTGGGGGCTTATTCAAGGCTTATGTGTATCCCAGAAGTCTCTTCAGTTGCTTTTTCACATGCTGTATCTCCTGTTTCTCATATTGTTTGAGACATATTGTATCCTGAAGTCCTTTCTTGGGCCTTTTACCCAGGTGCCCAGTGAACAGTGGATGGTAACTGTTTGCAAGATTGATTCATATGGCACTTGTTTGGCTTTTGACAGGTTGTTTATAAGAATAATGACATCCGTCTGGAGCTGTCTCGCCTGGCCCGGATTGGGGACACCAAGATGAAGATCTATGGGGAAGTTGTATTCAAGTGTGAGAATGTGGCCACGCTGGACCCTATCAACTTCGAGACCCCAGAGGCGTACATCAGTTTGCCCAAGTGGAACACCAAACGCATGGGTTCCATCTCCTTTGACTTCCGCACCACTGAGCCCAACGGCCTGATCCTCTTCACTCACGGCAAGCCCCAAGAGAGGAAGGATGCTCGGAGCCAGAAGAACACCAAGGTGGACTTCTTTGCTGTGGAACTCCTCGATGGCAACCTCTACCTGCTGCTTGACATGGGCTCAGGCACCATCAAAGTGAAGGCCACTCAGAAGAAAGCCAACGATGGGGAATGGTACCATGTGGACATTCAGCGAGATGGCAGATCAGGTAGGAGAAGGTGGGATTGTGACTCGGAAGAGAGGAAAACTGCAGCATCTTAGTCTGTTTCATGGCTTTGTATTTTTCGTATTTTACAATTTTTATTTTATGTTTGTGCTTGCATGCATGTTGACTCTTGCTGTTCTCTTTAATGGTTGTTGTAAGATTATGTTTCTGAACAAGTTATCTGTCTCGTCCCTTCCTCTCTCCCTTGTCACTCACCACACAGCTGTCTCTGTGAGAGCTTCAAGACCCTGGAGTCAAGGATGATTTTACAAGTAGCATTTCCACTGCTACCAAAGAGACTGTCATGTCACTGGTGTGATGGTTTTTTTTCCCCCTCCTTTTCTTCTTCTCCTTTTTCTCATCACCATGGAAACCGATTGTGACATCACAGATGCTGCATTATGTGATTACTCTGTAGGATAAGCCTCACTGTGTGAGAGTTTATGCAACGATACACCCTTCAATAATTGGCAAGAGTCATGTTGCAGGGAGAAATTAAGACAAGAAAGGAAAAAGCAAATTGATTTTTCCTGAAGTCATGTTCAATTTAAACCCTTCCTTTGGTGTGAGAACCTATATTTCACTCTTTGCTCAGACCTCACTAACTCTCCCTTCCTCTTCATAACCTTTTACATTTGGTTTAAATGGCTTTGTTTGTTTCTGCAGCCGCAGATCAAACAAGCTAGCCCCAGGCAGTACATAGCTACTGTGGAATTGTAACAAAGAGAGGGAGGGAACACACACACACACACACACACACACACACACACACACACACACACACGCATGTAGAGAGTCTGGAGCTTTTGAATGCCTGAACAGTTTGCATAGCTTTCTATGGACCATGTGGTAATGAAGGTCACATTCTGTGCCACCAGAAAGGACATTTCACCCGGAGTGGTAACTAGAGCATTTGGATTTCACACTTACTTCCTGATTCTCCATTTAGAGAATTATACTCAGGAAGGGTCTTGGCTATATTTGCTGTATTTTTAAGGATTCTCCCTCCTTGTAAACACAGAAAGTCTTTCATCTGGGAATTTTTTTGTAGGCACACTTGGCCAATAATAGAAAACAATAGATTCCCTCAAAAGGCTGCAGCCAGGAATGAGCTTTTCTGTATAATTCCCTAGCCAGAGAGATGACAGAGATGAGCAATATTACCCTTAGGAGGAGCTGGATGGGTTCCGTTCAGAGGGCAGACGGGTGGCAGATTGCAGCCCTGGATGGTTTAGTGCCCAGCAGGATGCTTTATTGATTGTCTGAAATCTAATCAGAACCAAGAGGCTTCAAATTAAATGTGCTTGTTGAGTAAGAATGAACAGTTTGTGCTTTTTTAACAGAAAAAGACACAAAAAAAACTAATTTCTCTGGAGGGAAGATCTTTTTCTCTCTCTTTCTAAATTTATCCACAAAACGTCAGCAGGGGCAGAGCAAAAAAACTATCCTAAAATTATAAGGGAGGGGTGCCTGGGTGGCTCAGTCGGTTGAGCATCTGACTTGGTTTTGGCTGGTGTCGTGATCTCATGGTTTCGTGAGTCCGAGCCCTGTGTTGGGCTCCATGCCGACAGTGTGGAGCCTGCTTGGCATTCTCTGTCTCCCTCTCTTTCTGCTCCTGCCCCCACTCGTGCTGTCTGTCTGTCTCTGTCAAAAGAAATAAATAAATAAACTTAAAAAAAATTAAAATTATAAGGGAAACACTTCTCTTGGTTTCAGGACTATGTGTTCTGGGTCTCTGGAGTTCTATGGTTGATGGGTGTCATGATTGGTTAATCTAGACCTGACATAGCTCAAAGGTTGCTTATCTGTGTCACAGGCAGGTGAGAACACCTAAGCTTGCCATATGTTTACTTCTGTTTATTCCCAGCACTAATTGCTTTTCCAGTGATGTAGTTATTTTGTTAGATCCATCAGTGGACCTATCTGACAAATATATCTGGATTTCAGAAGCCTTGAATTTCTTTTCTGGGAGCCATAGAATTGGCCAATACTGATAAATTTGATCAAAACCTATAATAGTTTACTGAGTAAACAAATAATTGTCCCATGAAAGCAGCAAAACATAAAATTTTAATATGATCTATTAAACTTCATTTCTTCATGAGAGTGTTTTCTGGTATGTTTTTAGTTATGAACCTGTTCCAAAATGAATAGTTATGAAAACATCTGTATTTGCGAGTGTGGTGCCTCCTTCCCTGTTCATCCCGAAGAATGACATGGGAAAAGTATTATGATCACTCCCCAGTTAGGAGACTGATTCTTGAAACTGAATTATGTGCATTCAAAACAGTTGTGGTCACCCACTCAGAGGACGGATTTTCCTCAGGATGTATTTATGGCTCCAGCATTTAAATTGGGTCTGATGCTGTCCTTGTTTATCAATAACTGTTCCTCTAGGTTCAGGATCAAGCAGCTCTGTGGGCTTGTGGAGGGTAAAGAAAGCAAGTAGCTCAAGAGAACAGGAGATGCAAACCTCAACTTCCTCATTTGTGAAAGAGCGTACATATTAACTCCTACCTTGCTGGATTGTTGTGAAGATCAAGTCCAGAAAAGCACATGCAGTACTTAAAATGGTGGCCAGGACATAATTATTGTTCCATAGGTTTCTAAAAGATTAAAAACAAACAAACAAAACCCAGAAACACAAATCCGATTTTTCCAGGAGAAAATTTCTAGGATGGAGTAGAGGAAGTTGCTGTTGGTGTAACCCACCCAGAGGCCTATTATGCTGGCTTTGTAACCTGGAGTGTACTTCTCATTCTTGATCTTATTTGATCTTTTCGGCCCTTCAGACTCTCCCCTTGGTAGCCCAGGGGATTGAGACTCAGAAAGAAGTGAAGGCTAGCTGATGGATGGCCGGCCTACTTATCCTGGTACCAATAAAGCACTTTAAGAATACTAAAGTTTTTACAATTTCTGGCATGTTTAGATATCACCTTGATTGTATAGTTTAGGAAACTGGGCTGTAAAGTGGCTCAGGGACTGGCTGGGGTCAGAAGGCCACTTAGGAGCAGAATGCCAGGTCCAAGTTCCCAGGCCAGGCTGTATGTATGTACCTTCTACAGTCACATTGATGGATCCCCGACCCTCCTGCTACTGTGTTTGGTCTGCCTCTCTGATTTCATCTCCCGCTCACCCCTTGTGCCCTTCAACCCTAGACATACTCTGGCTTACCCCATGGGCTTTGCAGGTACCATTTCCCCTGCCTGGCATATTCTTCCCCTAGACTTGGTAAGGTTGGGTCCATTTCAATATTGTGGTTTCAGCATACCTATCACCTGCCAGAGAGGCCTTCGCTGATAATACGTTTTATTTTTTTTATCTAAAAAAGTTTTTTAATGTTTGTTTATTTTTGACAGAGGCAGAGCATGAGTGTGGGAGGGGCAGAGAGAGAGGGAGACACAGAATCCAAAGCAGGCTCCAGGCTTTGAGCTGTCAGCACAGAGCCCAACGCGGGGCTCGAACTCACAGACTGCGAGATCATGACCTGAGCCGAAGTCGGACGCTCACCCGACTGAGCCGCCCACTTTGCTCTCCTCCTAGTACCTACCATTACCTAATTTCTCTTGTTTGTTGAGTGATGTATTTACCTTCTGTCCTATGCTCTGGACTATATGCACTAGAAGGACAGAGACATACCTGTCAAGTTCATCTCTGTGCCTACAAGAATGCCAGAAACACACAGGTGGGCAATACATATTTGTTAAATGAATAAACAAACATGTCCCAGGTAAAAGTTCTCAAAGGCAGTGCTCCAGATATTCACTGGCAGGGCTGGTAGCTAATGCTAGTGTGGAGGGTATCAGTGCATGGAGGGTTCCATCCTTTGCAGATGGCAAGCGAGTGATAAAGACTCAAGTACTTCCAGAGTCCTTACTCTGTCCCAGACACACAGGGGCACTTTATATATATCAACTCATTCAATTGTCACACCAGTCTGTGAGGTGGGGACAATTATTTTCCCATTTTACAGATGAGGATGTTAAGGCCTCCGGAGGTGAAATCACTTCTTCAGGGTTACACAGCTAGTCCATGGTAGAGCTGGGGTTTAAACTGAGGCATCCGCCGTGCTGCTCTCAACCTGTATGGTATGTGACCTTTCAGCCAAGACTCTGTAGAGAAAAGATACCACGTTAGGTGTTAGTTGACTGAGACGGTCCTGAATCCTCCTGTCAGTGAGATTGTCTTAGTGGCGAAGACTGGAACCAAATGGCCTATGTTATCCTTTCTACGGTCTTGAAGCATTTGACTCCCTTGCTTGTATTGTTCCCACCTGAGCAGGCAACACTGGTCTCTGAACTCACCTACTGGTCTTCTGTCATTTGGCTCATTGACTGGCAGCCTGACCTGAGATGCCGAGAGGGCTGTTAGCTCACTCTGTTTCTGTCCTCCCATCCCAGGTACCATATCAGTGAACAGCAGGCGCACGCCATTCACTGCCAGCGGGGAGAGTGAGATCCTGGACCTGGAGGGGGACATGTACCTGGGCGGGCTGCCAGAGAACCGTGCTGGCCTCATCCTCCCCACCGAGCTCTGGACTGCCATGCTCAACTATGGCTATGTGGGCTGCATCCGTGACCTGTTCATCGACGGGCGCAGCAAGAACATCCGGCAGCTGGCGGAGATGCAGAACGCTGCGGGCGTCAAGTCCTCCTGTTCACGGATGAGCGCTAAGCAGTGTGACAGCTACCCCTGCAAGAACAATGCTGTGTGCAAGGACGGCTGGAACCGCTTCATCTGCGACTGCACCGGCACAGGCTACTGGGGAAGGACCTGTGAAAGGGGTGAGTTGGCCCTCGTGGGTGGCATGCAGGGTCTGAGTGGGGGCGGTGGATGGCAGTTGTGTCCCTCGATGGAACTACCCATGCTTTCTTTGTTTTAGAGAAGCATTTCCTTTTGTTCGCTGCTTCCCAGATTATACCCTTTCTGATTCTGGATGATTGAATTTGTTTAACTAGGATTGGATCCCAGAAAGGGAAACTTCAGAATAAGTATTACCAAGATCATGGTCCTTTTTCAATTAAATATGAGACATCTTCTATGTAGAGTGGGCACATACTTCTCTTTTAGGTTTCTGGATACACTAGCAATCTAGCTTTTTGGAGCTTTCTACATGCTAGTTCTTGGACTAGGCTTTAAAAATACACTGTAGAAGAAGGTAGATCCAGGCCTTTTCTCATGGAGTTGCTGCCTCCGGGATTATTTAGTCATTAAAGAAATAATTACAAACATGTAAGAGGCAGCAGGATGTATTGGTTAAGAACATGAACTCTGGAGCCAGACTGGGTGAGAAATCTGACCCTTATGGGGTGTTGTGAACTTTATCAAGATAACTGGTATCTTTCAGACTTGATTTCCTCATCTGTAAAATAGGGATAATCAGGCACCTACCTCACAATATATGGTGATGATTAAGTGAGCGAGTAGTTTCCCAGACAGTGACTTAGTAAGTATTGGTGATTGTAACCATCATCATTGTTGTTCTAAACATCACTAAAGGGAAAATAGAAGTTTGGGAGGCCTCTGCAGGGGGAGCCACCATCCTGTAGGGATTCATAGAAAGCTGATGCCAGGAAGAAATATGCAATCTAAGACTTGAAATATGACTAGGAGTTAGCTTTGCAAAGAGGTTGGAGGAAGGCATGTGTCTTAGACAAGAAAGACAGAATGTGCCAAGGGACAGAGATAAGAAACCATGGCACAGTTGAGGAACTGAACGAAGTCCAGAAAGGACTAGAGTGTGGCATGACGTGGGAGGAAGGGCATAAGAGGTAGGTGAAGGTGAAGGAGTAAGGAAGCAAACAGGCCAGGGTGCTGGGAGCAATCCTTTGCATTCACCACTTTAGCATCTTACATCTACATTGACTTTGCAGCTTGGGTGAAGGGTAGAGATGAAGGTAAAAAGAAATGGAATCAAGACACGGAGATTCTGGTCTTTAAGCAGTGTCCAATTCCAGCTTGTTTTATTCTTTTATATGCCAAGCTTATGGACTCAAGCTGGCTGTCCATAGGTTGTCAAACTCTATTTTATATGAAAGGATAGTTTCTGTAGTTATCAAGTGTTTGCTGAGGGCATAGCTTTAAGCATCCAAGGGCTTTAAGGATACTGCATCTGTAACATAGTTCCTGCTCTCAAGAAGTTTATCATTTATTTATCTGAGGAGTTGAGACATCTATACAAGAAGAGTAATAAAGCAATACAGGCCAGCATCATGGATTCTATTTGTGGACCAGACTGGGAGGATATGGAGATTCAGAGAAGAGAAGACTTTCTTGAGGAGGGACATGCAGGGTCTCATCCCTCAAGACTACTGGTGGCCAGAATTACCCAGTATCACAAGTCTGATGATGAGGATGAATCCTGGAACAATCCAGGAACAGGGGCTGGATGATGAGGCAAAGATGTTTTCAAGGCGTGGTTTTTGTGAGGCTAATTATATTATTAGATGAGGGGTATTTCAAAAGAACTGCAGATCTTTTTTACAGCTGGATCAAAAATAGGACACAGAGCACTGGGGTGAAGGAGGAAGAGAGAGCTTATTTGGAGCTTAGGGGATGTAAATTCAGTCACTGAATTTTCAAAGCTACAACAAGCAGAATTTGAGCTAAGATGAGGAAGCAGCTGTATGGGGCGGGTCAGTCTGTCAAATTCCTAGACTTTCTGCCAAATCTGTTTGGAAGCTGGACTACCCTGGTATTGGTTTAGGTCAATAGAAAGGTCATTTGACATCTGAGATGAGTAAGACAGTTTTGGTGCAAGCCACATTGTTACAGATCTTCCACCACCATGGAAAGTAGTATAAAAACCAAAGATCGCTTCAGACATCCACTTCTCCCCTCAGGTCTCTTCCCAATTCAAGGACCTTGTGACTGCTGAAGACAGGAGGATTTCCTGTAGCCAGCGGTGCAAGGTGTCTCTGAGCTCACCTATTCCAAGGGTATATAAATGGGAGTTGGTCCAAGTTTTGCCAAGTACGGTGAAAGTCACTGCACCTTTTATGTTGTCACTTTGGACTAGTCATTAAGAGGCAGCTGATTGGGGATATATGAGGGACAATTATTCCTGGTACAGTGCAGCCAAGTCATCCATTCTAGCCAAATGAGAAGGAGCATAGCAAATTTAAGACATTTGATCTATACATCGCTCAAATCCCAGACGGTTCAACCGATTGTTTTGTTCCCCTGCTAATTGTTTTTTGGCCCTGTATTGTTCCTGACACCGTGTTCAGAGTGAATCAGTGGAGTGTAAAAATGGTAGGACTCTACTTGCTAGCAGAGAAAATAGAGTTTTCCAATGACATTGTTTTTCTTTATTGAAACTGATTTCTCAGTGGAGATACTTTGAGTATCTTTTATTCATTTTTATACATGATGTAGACATTTATTGAAACCCTAGCATATTCCAGGCACTGTATTAGATGCTGGAAATGCAAAGACATTGACATAGCCCCTGATGTTGATGAAGGGGTGTATAGTCCTTCCAGGGAAACAAAGGGGAATGCAGTAAATGTCCTAACATGTGGTAGATGTTATGCCATATGTCTATAGGGGAACAGTAGGGCAAATGGATGGGAGAGGCCATGTGTATGTAGGGGAGTGATGATTGGGAAAAGAGGATTCAAGATTTCCTGGATCTTTTTGTCTCCTATTTCTAGCAAAACTATGGTCTTTCTCTGCCTATGACCCTGTAGGCATTTCTGAAGAGTGGTGAAGGAAAAAAAAAAAACACACCAAAAACTTGTCAACATTTTTTATGTAAGGAGCATGATCCCCTTTGGATCCAGGAATGCTGCCTCACCCACCATGACCCCATCACTCAGTTTACTATTTTCTCTCTAATATTTGAACATTAACCGGAAGATTAGAATTGGTCATTTGTAGGAAATGTGATGAGACTGAGACAATTTCTAAGGCAGTGTGTCCTGTCTGGCCCAAATTGGAGTGTCCTGTTCTTGGATTTTGCTGTGGGGTCAGTCCTTTGGTATCACTGGTCCCACAATAGGAATGGTAGGGTTAGAGAGGCATTTGTTAATATAGAATGAAGAAAGCATAGGTGGAATACTAGAATTGGTAGAAAAAGAACAGAGTTGGGGATGGCCTGGGTCAGACACTAGATCCAAATAGCCCAAGAACTCAAGCAAAGTGAGCAAACAGATCAGTCTATAGGGCAACTCCCAGCTCAAAGCTGTCCTCCAAAGATAAGGGAATAAGGCAGGGAACCTAGGAAATATATAAATATATGAGATTAAGGTTAATTTTGAGGAGTATCTTTCTCTTATAGTAAAAATGGATGACTTGCTTGTACCCTCATAAGAATGCTTCTACTACCTGTGAAGATAGCAACTCTAAATCTTGACATTTAACAACTGGCTTGATGTCGTATTTAGATTTTGTCAGGATGATCTGATACTATTCTGCGAAGATGTAGATCTATCTTCCCTTCCCAGTTGTTCAGCTGTATCTATTTGGGTTTGTTTTTCATAGTGATGTGGGAGACGCCTGTCTCTCTGACCTAGAAAGCAAAGCCCTGTTTTGGTTGCTTCTTGCCAGTCAGTTTGGTTGAGATGCTCTAATCTACTGTAGGACCACCTGCCCTCCTGTGAAGCCCTGTTGTACAGAGGAAACGTTCCAGCTTGTCTATCTTAGGAAGATATGATCAGCTGATGTGAGACAACCAAGCCATCTTCTCCTTGTCAGTGTGGCCAGACTGTTTAGTTCAGTCTGTGGGAGCCAAGCATACATAGCCAAGATTATGGATTTGATTTTTTTTGTGGACCATCAAGCTTCAATTTATGACGCCACTGCAGATTCTGTCTTCCTCCCTGAATGACTTTTTCTGAAAGTATGCCATCATTTATTTAGCAAGCGAGAAAGTAGGATTCAGCATGAGTCCATTCCCATGACAAGAAAAGTAACCTACAGAACAGCACTTAGAGTCAGGGTGGTCTAGTGGTTAATGGCATGAATTTTGGAGTCACACAGACCTGGTTTCTGGGCTGATTCTGTCACTTACTAGCTAGGTGATGTACAAAAAACTTCTCTCTTAATTCTTCTAAGTCTCAGTTTCTTTATCTGTAAAATGGAGAGACTAATACTTTCTTGGTAAGGTTCTCTTGGTTGCAAGCTACAGAATCTACTATGGCTAACAGTCAAGGAAGAGGATTTACTGCATGATTGCCTAGAGAGGTATTGATCAAATGAAGATCTCACTAACTACATTTTTAAAAAGGAAGCAGAACAGCTCTAGGGACCCTAAGGCACTGTGATTCAAGTGACTCATGTCTCCTGGCCTCCAGATACTGGATTTTTCTATCCAGCATTTACATTTTCCAGAAAGGGAAACTGGCCCAGTTTGGTTTATCTGTCTTTCCTTATATCAATCAGCTCTGTTTAGGTGGGTGGTCCCCTAGAATAGATATGAAGGATCACGGGTGTGTGTGTGTGTGTGTGTGTGTAAATAAGATATTACTGCACCATTTTGCTAGTGCTCTTTCTTGGCTAAGCTCAGCATATTCTGACCCATAAGGCCATATCCTGTGACAGATATCCAGCCATGTGGAGCTGCTTCTGTCTGACAAAAAGAAATATAATCCGGAATCATGGAAATCGGATGCCTTTGAAAATAATAATTTGCACAACGAAGAGAATGTGATGAGAGGGTAAATCTGCTCTTCTCACTGGTTCCTGGGATTCCATTCATCTTATATAAGCACCAGCTGAAAACCAAGAATACAGATATTTTGAGTTTTCTTAAGTGACTCTTGTTCCAACAGGAAAAGAGTGC